AAACCAAGCCATAGCAAGATAGGCTATCAGTGAGAACACAGTGATGGCAATGTAAAAGGAAACCAATGACCCATAGAAGAATAAAGTAATTAAAAGAAAAAATTTTTTAAGCAGAAAGAAAAACCTGTAAACAGATCAAGGTCTGATTTTTGATCGCTAGGCGTGTCCTTCAGCCAGGACCAATGGGGTACCATGTTCTGGCCCCAGAGTCTGTCCTTTGTACTCCCTCAAGGGCTCTCTGCTCTGCTCCCACGGTTGCTCTGCCACACGCTTTTGTGATTTGCCTCGGTGTCTCAGGGTCAGTCTGGGCCAGTCCTGACAGTGAGTCTCCAATGTTGTCCCCCTTAGAGCCCGGGGCCATCAAGAGACAGCATGTCTCGTGGGATCAGCCATATTGTCCACTCTGTCCATTGGCTGTTCAGAGCAAGGATGTTGTCCTCCAGGCCTGGTGCATCAGGATGTGCTCCACTCTCTCTACCTCCCCCTAAGTGCTCCGATTTGCTCTGGTCAGACATGCCCCTCTCCCTTAGCTGCAGCTTCATTGCCGTCCTCTCAAGTAGATTCTTCTGGGGGGAGGGGCAGTTGTCCACATAGCTGGCATGGGGATTTCTTTATTCTTGTAGACCAGTCGTTTGAAGCTCTATCTGCATTTAAGACCACTTGTGAATATTTTTTCAAGCCTTTTAAGACAACTTTAAACATTATCAGGTTGACTCAGACCGGAGCGACTCCATGTGCACCGAGTAGCACTGTGCACTGTAAGGTTTCCTCTCACTGGCTGAGTTTCCATAAGAGGTCTGCATGGCCTTTCTTCCGAGGCATCTCCGTGTAAGCATCTCCGGGTAAACGCAAAGCTCCCACCTTTCAGTTAACTGGCTCTCCCTTAACAGCTTGATTGAGTATGTCACCCATTTGAAGGATACAAGTCGTTGAGTCTTGGCAGCCCTTACTGCCTTAATTTGGAGAACATTTTCATCACCCCCAAGGAGAGCCCCCTACTCATTAGCAGTCACACCCCACTTCCTGCCATCACCACTGTCCTAAAACTCAGAAAACTGTTCATTGATCTGTCTTCTGCCTCTATCAAACAAAAGCGAGCCCACTTCCATCAAATGCATTCCGACTCACAGCGACCCTATAGGATAGGTAGAACTGCCCCTGTGGGTTTCAGAAACTATAACTTTTTACTAGAATAGAAAGCCTTCTCTTTTTCCCTTGGAGCAGCTGGTGGTTTTGAACTGCCGACCTTGTTAAGAGCCTAGCATTCCACTCACTATATACGCCTCCAGGGCTCCTTTTGTTTTTCTAGATTTGCCTATTCTAAGCATTTCATATAGGTATAATCCTACAGTATATGGTCCTGTCCTGTGTGCCTGCTTTATTTCACTTAGAATATTGTTTTCAAGGTCCATACATCATCATAACAAGTATTAAAATCTCATTTTTCTATATAGCTGAATAGTTTAGTCCACGGTATATATGTGCTACATTTTATTGATCCTTTCACCTGTTACTGAAGACAAGTCATCTCTACCTTTTGGCTATTCCAGGAGTGCATTGTGAATGTTGGTATAGAAGTATCTGTGCTCCTGCCTTTAGTTCTCTTGAGTGCACACCTAGAATTTAAATGCCAAGGTCATATTCTTTTTTTTTTTTTTTGGTCATATTCTTTAACATTTTGAGGAACTGCCAGATTTTGTTGCAACAGTTTTACCTATCAATCCACAGTGGACAGGAGGTCCAGTTTCCTCTTTATGTTGTTACAGGGTAGACCCAAGTGTGTACCCACAGGAGCCATTCTAGTGGGAGTACAGTGGTATCTGACGTTGGGTTTGATTTGTATCTCCCTAATGACTAGAACAGTGGTTCTCTGCCTTCCTAATGCCATGACCCTTTCATACAGTTGTGGTGATCCCCCCCATCCATAACCTTATTTTCATTGCTACTTCGTCACTGTCATTTTGCTACTGTTATGAATCGGGCAACCCCTGTGAAAGGGGTTCAGCTGGAAAATAGGCCTTACTGAGGGAGTGGACTTCTTTTCATATAGTGGGTTTTATTAAGATGACAGGAGTGTAAGCTATTACTTATACAGTATAAGCTATTTATATAGACCTTAATTTATGTGACTAATTTTCTTCTCATCATACTCAGAACATAATTGTTGATGCCCCTTGTAAGTTATTTTTAGCATCTTTTCCAAGTTCTATTTTTGAAATCAATCGTAGTTTTGAAATTGCTTATGATAGTTTTGCTACTGACCTTGATTGAACACCCTGTGTTTTGTTCACTGTATGGTGAATTACAATCTCAATTCTTTTAGGACACCATGCAAAATTGAGCCCAGTATCAACCACATCCTAAGCACCAGAAAGCCTAGGAAGGAGGAAGGAGACCCCTTACAAAGGGTTCAAAGCCATCAACAAGAGTCTGAAGAGAAGAAAGAGAAGATGATGTATTGTAAGGAAAAGATATATGCAGGAGTGGGAGAGTTCTCTTTTGAAGAAATCCGGGCTGAGGTTTTTCGGAAGAAATTGAAAGAGCGCAGGGAAGGTATGTGTGTGGATCTATATCACATTTGTGAAAACAAATTAACTTTATTGTAGGAACATTGGACTGTGAGGTATGACGTCTAAAGAAAATAGCTCGATTATATGTACCGTTATGGGATGTTCTGTGGTTGTACTCTTTCTGTATTTATACTGAACTCCCATTGCTACTTTCCTCATGGAAGAAAACCAAGCCTATGTTCAGAAGGCGAGGGGGAGGAGAAGCAGTGAGCCAGGGGAACAGTTTTCCCCATGCACTAGCAGGGAGCTCTGTGTGTTCATTGTCAGACCTCCCTCCTCAGTACTTGCTCTAACGTTGCCTGAAATACCCCACTTTGCCGTTGATACTCTGCTTGGAATTTCTCCAAGGGCTTAATTAGGTTAACTCCTCAGTCACATAGGTCATAATATCTTAACAAACAATAGAAATCACTATCATTTCAAATTATGGCAGGCTTTGTAATACATTAAGGAGCCCTGGTGGAGCTGTCAGGTAAGCACTGGACTGCTATCAGGGGTTCTTTTTTTTTTTTTTTTTTTTTTAGGGGCTCATACGACTCTTATCACAATCCATACATACATCAATTGTGTAAACCACATTTGTACATTCATTGCCCTCATCATTCTCAAAACATTTCCTTTCCACTTAAGCCCCCGGCATTAGATCCTCATTTTTTCCCTCCCACCATGCCCCCCCCTCCCTCATGAGCCCTTGATAATTTATAAATTGTTTATTTTGTCATATCCTGCCGTCCGACGTCTCCCTTCACCCATTTTTCTGTTGTCCGTTCCCCAGGGAGGAGGTCACATAGAGATCCTTGTAATCGGTTCCCTCTTTCCAACCCACTCTCCCTCTACCCTCCCAGTATTGCCACTCACACCACTGGTCCTGAAGGGATCATCCACCCTGGATTTTCAGTTCCTGTCTGTACCAGTGTACATCCTCTGGTCTAGCCAGACTTGCAAGGTAGGATTCAGAGCATGATAGTGTGTGTGTGTGTGTGTGTGTGTGTGTGTGTGTGTGTGTAGGGGGGGCGGGGGTAGGAAGCATTTAGGAACTAGAGGAAAGTTGTATGTTTCATCGTTGCTACATCGCTCCCTGTCTGGTTCATCTCCTCCCTGAGACCCCTCTGCAAGGGGCTCTCCAGTTGCCTACAAATGGGCTTTGGGTCTCCACTCCGCACTCCACCCATCATTCACTATGGTAAGATTTTTTGTTCTGATGATGCCTGATACCTGATCCCTTCGACACCTCGTGATCGCACAGGATGGTGTGCTTCTTCCATGTGGGCTTTGTTGCTTCTAAGTGTTTGATTCTGCAGGTCTCTCATTCGGGGAATATATGTTTACAATGCTTAGTGGTTCTTTATCTACCATTCCCTTGAGCATTATATAGTGTCCCTCCTTATCTTTTTTTATGGTTTGCACTTTGAGGTCAATTTTATCCGAGATTAGGATTGCAACCCCTGCTTTTTTTGAACTGCTGTTTGCTTGGTACGACTTTCTCCAACCTTTGATTCTCAGCCTATTTTTGTCTGTAGCCTTGAGATGTGTCTCCTGTAGGCAGCAGATTGATGGATTGTGTTTTCTAGGCCAGTCTGCTACTCTCAGTCTTAATGCCTGAGTTCTGGGCATTGATATTCAGGGTTATTATCTCCATCTGTGGACTCTGTGATGTCATCTTATACCTTTTGTGTTGGGTGTTTTCCTACTTTCCTTTCTCATTAGCGTGTTGTGCATTTGTGTGTGTGTATCATTCTTGGCTTCTTTCCCTCCTTAAGCCAATGCTATTTTGGGGGCTGTTTTATCTTTGTTGCCCTCTGGGTGAGGTTGTTCTATGTGGCGGGCTCTTATTTATGCTTGGTGAGTGTTGTTCTTCTGCGTATACTGGGTCGGCAAGGATCTTTTGTAGGGCTGGGTTTCTTCTAACGTATTCTTTGAGTTTTTCCTTGTCTGGGAAGACTCTCACCTCTCCATCTATCTTGATCAATAATTTGGCTGGGTAGAGTATTCTTGGGTTTGCGTTGTTTTCCTTCAATTTTTGGAATATTTTACTCCACTCTCTCCTCTTCTTCATAGTTTCTGCTGATAGGTCTGAGCATATTCTTATTTGGGAACCTTTATATATGATTGCTTGTTTTTCCCTAGCTGCTCTCATGATTTTCTCCTTTTCCTCAAAGTTAGATAATTTAACTATTACGTGCCTTGTGACTTCTTCTTGGGATTCAGTCTAGCTGGTGTTCTTTAAGCCTCCTGAATGGTTGCCTGGTTTTCATTCATTAAGCTGGGGAAGTTTTCCTCCAAGAATGCTCTCACTATTGTTGCAGATGA